GAAGAGACGAAGTCATTTTTATTCGTTTACGCATCAGACACACCTCCTTGACACATAAATGTCTCCTTCAGTGAGATGAGAAACCGTTCTGTGTCGGATGCTAAACAGATTTTACCATTAGACACCTTGTAGCAGAATGTCCAGACTTTGGAGAGACCCGAGGGAAGCATTTTAAATGCAAAAAATTGCAAGATCTGTTCTCTGTTGTTGATCCCAAAAGAATTCTCGATTTTAGGCAGCGTGATGAAATCAGACGCTCGTCAAAATAATGAAATCGAAGAAACAGGCATTTTTCAGTCTGTTTGGCAATTGTTATCTAAATTTATTATTATTTTTTTTTTGGGGGGGGGGGGAGGAGGGGGACTCAACACCTTTAATGTAAATAGAAACAACACATTTTCACGTGAATGTTACTGAAAAACGTAGATTAAAGGCACAAAATAAGTAATTTAAAAAAGTTTTCAAGGTCTCTCAAGCTATTGAAGTTATCAAACCTTGGTGACCCATTTTCTTCCTAATTTTACCGCTGAAACCTGGTTACCCCACCTCCTTCACTCGCACATATTTCAAATTCTATTCAAGATAAATTGGTATTTTTTAAAATTGAAAGCAAGGCAAATGAATAAGTATTCAGATGATATCAATACCTCCACAAGCCCAAAAGATGACGAGAGCCTGATTCCACCGCGCTATGACACAGAGGCTATTGGCGTTTACTGTGAATTGTAGATAGCGTTGTTTTAAAAATTATGAAAACTGTTATTTCAAAATCGAGACTTTTCCACAAATCTTTAACATTTTAATCGAAATATTGACCTAAACAAAGCCGTGCTGTGAATTGTGAATGCAACTAACTTGCGTTCCACGCGGTCATATAACCTTATGCAGTTGCGAGCGCCGTAAAACTCTTACTAAAACAGACAAACAAACGATCTTCTAATTTTTATCAGATTTCGTGGTTGCACGAGTCTTAATGATTTGTTGTATAAACGTTGTCCAAATATCTTGTACTACTCATCTCTACGTGCAACAGTTCTTCGACTCATCAATGGTCAGTGTGGCTGGTAAAATTCAAAAACTCCAACTTCTGAATAATTTAAATGTGTTGATGGGGGTGTAAAATACTTGCCATCTACGCTACTGGGACTATTCCCTCAGAGTGCAGTCGCAAGAATAAAGTGAAAGAAAATTAGGCCTTACTGTATTAACTCTAACGTTGCACGGCCAATCACTACGCGTAACCCACATCCTTGACATTTTTAGAAGAGCACTGTTTGATCCATTCCCCTTCCCACGCCCCTCC